AAAAGGGTCTCCTGATAGCTAGTAAGGCCTGCCTGCACAGGGACCCCCCCCTCAGCCAACCCAATCCAGGAGGTTTGCTGGGTGGCCAAAACAAAAACAAGAAATTAAAAAAGGAAAAAGGAATTGCCGCCCTTTTTCCAGGGTGCAGTCAGCGGCGTCTGTCGGCCATGAGGCAGGGCTGGAAACTGGAGAACGTGAGAGAAGCCACCCCCCCCAGCCAACCCAATCCAGGAGGTTTGCCTGGGTGGCCAAAACAAAAACAAGAAATTAAAAAAGGAAAAAGGAATTGCCGCCCTTTTTCCAGGGTGCAGTCAGCGGCGTCTGTCGGCCATGAGGCAGGGCTGGAAACTGGAGAACGTGAGAGAAGCCCCTCCCCTGCTGGAATCATGAAAGAAGCGGCGACTCTGCCTGCCTGGAGGGAGGATCTCCTCCCAGAGGTTCCGAAAGCTTACAGAGTTTTGTGTTGTTTTGTGTGGTCCTGACAAAAGGTGTTGCCTGTTTTTTTGTTTTTAGAGAAAGGTGGTGTTCTTGTTTTTTAGAGGGGAAACACTTCAGCTGAGGAAACTGGCTACCATGAGGACTCATGGGTGAACCTGTGGCAGTGGCAGCAGCAGGGCTCGAACCCAGGATTGGCCTCCTACTCGCCCCCACTCCCTCAGTCTTCCATAATCACCATTTCCCTTCTCACCCCTTCCAGGGAAACGCTACCAGTGTTCAGGTGATGGCTGCCGCATGGCTTTCCAGAGCATGAGGGAGCTGCTGGACCACTTGAGTGTTCATTACCGGCCCCCGCAGTCACTGGAGGGTAAGCCATGGCTTGTTGGGGGGGGGGGAGAATGGGGGGCATATTTTGAGCTGGGGAATTGGCCTGCTTTCATTTTATGACTTTCATCTGCAGCTTTCCAGCTATTTTCCAGCATCTACAAAAAAAAAGTTGTGATTGGCTACCTAATGTGCCAGTAATTTGGCTTGCAAGAGAATCCAAATTGATTGCTTGTGTTAATGGGGTGTGTTTGAGAATAAGAAAAAATGTCAAGGAACTGGATTATTTTTCAGGTTGGGTTCCTGCCTCATACAACCTTTCCCTGGGAAGGTTAGGTTATTTAGAGAGGGAGAAATGGTTCAAGATTTAACTAGGAATAAGGCCCATTGTGGAAATAAATACAATGAGCTCTAGAAAGAGGTTCTGGGTGGGTGCCATGGCCTTGGGTACTCCGCGTCAATTTGCTGTGGTGACCTAAGCAGGGTATAATGACACAGAGCTTACTGTTTTCTCCAGGGGAACTGATCTCTGCCATCTGAAGAGCAGTTGTAATTCTGAGTGATCTCCAGCCCTCCCCTGGAGATTGGCAGCAATGGTTCCCCAGGAGGAAAGGGCTGGTTTGGAGGGTAGAGTCTATATGGCATTGTACCTGTCTTGGGGGTGGCAACCCTATCTCCTTCCCAGCCAACCATCAACATACCGTTATTTACCCCTCTTGACTTCAGCTTTCCATCTTTTCCCCTACACCTGCAGCTTCTACCTAGGAAAAGTACAGACTTTCTCCTCCTCAGTGGGGACCCAAGCAGGAGGGGAAGCAACCTCAGCAGGGTATAATGAATCAGAGTCCAACCTGCAAAGCAGCCATTTTCTCCAGGGGAACTGATCTCTGCTGTCTGGAGACCAGTTGTAATTCTGAGTTGTAATTCTCTGCTGTCTGGAGACCAGCCCTTACCTGGAGAATGGCAGCAATGGTTTCCCAGGAGGAAATGCCTAGTTTGGAGGATGGAGTCTATGGCATTGTACCTATCTGAGGTCCCACTTCTCAAACCCCACCCTCTCTAGGCTCCACCCCTCAAATCTCCAGGAATTTCCCAACCCAGAGGTGGCAATCCTATTTCCTTCCCAGCCAACCATCAATATACCATTATCTGCCCCTCTGACTTCAGGTTTACACACACACACACACACCCATAGCCTCTACCTAGGAAAAGTACAGTCTTTCTCCACAGTGGGGATCAAAGCAGCTCACATCATTTTCCTCTCCCCCTTTTGATTGAGCTGGGGTGCGGGGGGGAGATGTGTGCCACCACCCTCTCTGAACGTTGTTGCTTTTCCTAGGCAAGACCTTCTGCTGCTCCACTCTGGGCTGTGCAGAAACCTTCTCCTGCATGCAAGATCTCATGGAACACACGAAGATCCACTGCAAGCCAAACCGTTATTTCAAGTAAGCTGTTTTCTGAAACCCCCCCCCCCACTTTTCCTGCTTCCATTTCCCTGCTATGATAACGGCCTCTCTAATTTATGATGCCACTGCTCCTCCCTAAGCCCAAATGGGGATCCATTGAGCCCAGGTTCCTGTTTCCAACATGAGACAACGATGGCCCTGTGGGAAGCCCACAGGCAGGGTGGGAAAAGCCTGTTTGCATCTACTCTGGCATCAAGAGGTAGAGTGCCCCTCACCCTGGAGGTTCTCTACACAAGGAATGCTCATAGCCACTGATAGACTTCCTTATGAACTGTTCTGGAGCATCCTAAAAGTCTGTCTAGCCCAAAAGCAGCTGGGCCGATTGACTCAGGCTCTGTGTGTGTGATTTCTAACAGTCTGACTAGATTTTTAAAGGCGTTTGAGCCCCTCCTGCTTGGGGAAGCAGCTAAAATTGCAGCTTGAGCCAACACAGTTGTGTGTGTGCTCAGAGTTCTTAGTGTGGGGGGGAATGCAGTGCCCAACGGCGGACCCCAAATTTGTCTTTTGGAACGGCAGACTCAGGCCTGACCCTGGGCTCTTAATCCTTTCAGATGCGAGAACTGTATGTCGCGCTTCCAAACGCACCGCTCCCTCTTCAAACACCTGCACGTCTGTTCCGACAACCGCGGCCCTTCGTCAGCCCTGCTGGAGGAGAAGCCTGCCTTTCCTACTACCTCTGGTCCAGAGAAGGAGCCTCCGGGGAACCGGCTGAACCGGCTGCCCAGATTCCAGAGCGTCATCCAGCATGCAAAGAAGGAAGCCGTCCTTCCCAGTGGAACGGAGGCTGCCTCAGCCCTGGAGAGAGACTCGCTGCCAGCAGGACTCCCCAGCCCCTTGGGACCCGTGCCGTCGCCCTCACACCCCTTTTCTCTGTTGGAGGCCCCCCTCTTTGGACCGCCCCCCCCGGCACGCTCCTCTGGGCCGCCGCACTCCCCAGGACCAGGGCCATTCTTGCCCTATATGCACCCCCCACCATTCCCTTTACCTCCAAATCGTCTCCGGCCGTACCTTCCCGTCCAAGGCCTTCCCGTCTCCAATGCTGTGTGGAAAAAAAGCCAAGGCAAGTAGGAAGCGAGCTTTCGTTTCGAGCGTTCTTCACATGTGCTAAAGTTGGTTGTGCCGAAACCCAGCATTCTGCTCCAGTTGCTAATGAAGACTTGAGCCCCTCTCTCGCCCCGCAAGCTTCTAGTCCTCATGGCTGTGTGTGTGTGGGGGGGGGGCAGGTCTGAAATAGCTTGCATCTTCTGCCATTTGGCAGGTGCAGAATTAGTGTGTCAGCAGGCAAACAACACCTTAAGACTTCCTGTCCTGCATGCCGGAAAATTAAAATACTTTTACCAGTATTGGACACTCCAATTTGCCATTTCATCAGCACTGCAAACTGGTTTTTTACTGTGCTCTCCGAGAGCCAGGATTCCAGAGTGGGCAGGGATTCTGGTTGGGAGGGTACCAACGACCCCCACCCCAACTCTGTTTTGTGGCACAGACATTCCACTAGCAAGCTATGCATGCAGGGGACTGGGGTGTGGGGCACAGAAGCTGGGCTCTCCTGGCTCGCGCTTGTCCTGACAAAAGTGCCATGAATATAAGGACGGGGGCAGGTGTGGTAGGGCCCCCATAGCCAGCACCTTCGTGGCACTGAATCCACTGCTGGTTAGAGAAGGTTTATGAACCTGGAGTGGGCCGGATGGGGACCAGCACTGGCATCACGGCCGGTGACGCACCAACCACGACGGGCAGCTGTTTCAGAGAGCTGCCTGTATTTGGTTGTGGTTGTCAAGCCTCACTGGGGTTTGACAATGGGAAAGGAAGAAGGGGGGGGGGCCCTATGACCCCCACTGCGCCAAACTGCCTCCTCCACTTGAGCGGACCAAGCCCCCAGGCGAGAAAGGAAACACACAGGAGTGGGTCTGCGTTGGCCTTTTGTTGCACTGTAAGATCCCATTAAGGAGCTGCGGTGGCTCAAGTGGTTAAGAGGCTGAACTGCAGGCTGTGGAAGGTCGGTAGTGCAGCAGTTCGAGACCCGAGTGTGCCGCATGACGGAGGGAGCTCCTGTCTCTAGTTCCAGCTCCTGCCAACCTAGCCGTTCGAAAGCAAGAAATTGCAAGTAGATAAATAGGTACCGCTTCGGTGGGAAGGTAACAGCGTTCCATGCGCCTTGGTGTTTAGTCAGGCCGGCCACATGACCACGGAAACGTCTTCGGACAGCGCTGGCTCTTCGGCTTTGAAACGGAGATGAGCACCGCAACCCTAGAGTCGGATTCGACCGGCTTTCGAGCAAGGGAAACCCTTACCTTTAAGATCCCATTGGTGTCTCCCCCCAACGCAGGGCACTCCTCCAACAGTCGCATCGTCTGGGAACACACCCGAGGGCGCTACAGATGCTTGCAGTGCTCCTACTCTGCTCCCTCACGGAAGGAGATGACCCAGCACCTGGAGGACCACCGCAAGAACGCCCTCCCCACGGGCCGCCTGGAGGGGGAAATGGGTGAGAACCCGAATGGGTGGGGGGGGATTGGGAGGGGGTTCCCTCCTCTCTGCTTCCCCTTATTTGTTGGCTCATGGCCTGAGGTGGAATTCTCAGGTGTGACAGGCAGGCAGGAGTCTCTGCCAGCCAGTACCGGAGCTTTTAACAGGAGACGCCCCTGAGCGACAGACCCTCCTGCCCAGCAGCGAGGCCCTTACAGTTGATTTTTGCACGTGTCCAAAGGACTCTTGATCTGTCCAGATCTCCTTTGCCTGGGAGAGAGTTTATCAGACAGGCAAAGAACTTTCCCAAATCTTCCTCCTCGGGATCCTTCCGCCAGAGGCTGACCTAGGCCTTCTGCAGAGCAGCTGTGCTTTGCCGCTCACCTGTGGGTTCTGTCCAAACTGGGGCCTCTGGCAGCTGCTAAACCCCCCCGGGCATGTGTGCATGGACACCTGTGGGCAGTGTTCCCTCTAAGCTGAGTTAGTGTGAGCTAGCTCACAGTTTCTTAGCCTCCAGCTCACACATCTTTGCCTTAGCTCAGGAAGGAGGGCTCCCGAGCAAACTAATTTATGCAGCAGCCAAATTGTTTGCTCACAGCTTTAATGCCAGTAGCTCACAAAGTAGAATTGTTGCTCACAAGACTCCGCAGCTTAGAGGGAGCATTGCCTGTGGGACTTCCCCAGGGCTGCTAATGGGGATCGTCTGCAGGCAGAGCCCCCGGCTCTGACTAGCAGCAGCTCTCCCAGGTCTCCAGCAGAGAGAGAGAGAAGTGCTTCTGCCAGAGGCTGAACTGGGACCTTGAATGGGCAAAGCGAATACTCCCCCCATCAGCCGCAGCCCCTCGGTTTGGAACCACACCCGTCCTTTTGGCAGGAGCTCTCCAGGGGCTTGGGCTTTGCCCGCATAACTGGAGGTACCCGGGACTGCACCCCCCACACTTCTCCATGCCATTTGGAGTAAGCGGCTGCGACGACCCCCCTCACACTTCCCTCCCTCAGAGGTCGGTTTTCCCCTCCCAAGTGCTTCTTTCCTTCTGTGACTGAGCCCGTCCCAACTCAAGTAATGCGGCTTTCTTCTTTGTCTTTAAAAGACTGTCTGTCCCACCCATTGTCACAGAGATGCACTTTGACTTTTAGCCCAGCCCAGGAACCTGAGGGAAGATTAAGGGAACCCCTCCAAATGGCACTTGAGACGATGTAAGAGTCAAACAGAACAAAAGATTTGATTTAGAAGACAGGGACAGGTCAGGTGCAGCGTTCCCTCTAAGCTGCGTTAGTGTGAGCTAGCCCACAGTTTCTTAGCCTCCGGCTCACACATTTTTTGTCTTAGCTCAGGAAGGAGGGCTCCAGAGCAAACTGACTTAAGCAGCAGCCAAATCGCTCGCTCACAGCTTTATTGCCAGTAGCTCACAAAGTAGAGTTTTTGCTCACAAGACTCCACAGTTTAGAGGGAGCATTGGTCAGGTGTAATCAGGAGTTGTTAACTTCAAGGCAAAAATCAGTGGCTGCACAGACTGGAATCCTTTATACAGGCAAACGAGGGTCACTGAAGGTTATTTTCGTAGTTTTTTTAGATCTTGATATCAAGAGGCTTTCCCCACCCCCGGTATTTTCCAAACACTACCATGCTGCTTCGTAGAGTTTCCTATTTCTCCCCTTCTTTCCTTGAGGCTGGTACCTCCTTTCTGTACCGAACTCCCTTCCTTCCTTTTAATCCCCAGTTGCTGCCTGGCTCTTGAGGTGTCTCAAGCAGCTCCCCTTCCACAGCAGACCAGGGATCTCCTCCTCCTCCTCCTCCTCCTCCCAGAGACAGCTCTCCCTGTGTGACTGGGCGGCAGGGATGCTCCTCCTCCGTTCCATGAATTCCTCCTCAGAGCAGATTTGCAACAGCCGAGGCCCAGAATTGCTTCTCTTCTCTCCAGAGAGGAATGTCAGAATAATGCCCCTTCCCCTTCAGCACCCAGCTAAGAAAGAATTCTGCCCTTGGCTGGAGCTGGCCAATCAGAGTGCTCAGAGTAGCCTGTCACTCAAAGCTCTCCATTCGGGAGGCGATTTAACTCTTCACCTCCCAGTACTCTGAAAGTGCAGCATTTTGAAGCCTTTTTTTTTTTAAGGGCTGTCCTCAGGTGGAGACCCCCAGGGTCTCTGCATTGACTTTGGAGTCGAGAGTTGGGAAAATGAGGTGTGTCCCTCTGAGAAGCCCCCCCCACACACACACCAAGAAAAAGCAGCCAGGCCAGCAGCCCTTTGCTGCACACTCAAGTGGGGATTTCTGCCACCTTTGACCAGCAGATCTGTGCTGCTCTTCCTCCCACCTGTCTTACAGATGGTTTCCCCAGAATGCGGGAATCCCCACGTCATATATCGGAGGCAGGTGGGATGGGATGGAATCTAGATCAGTTCAAACTTCAGAACCTCCATAATTTCTGAACTACTGGAGTATTTACGGCGCTGTGGATAGGACATGCGGTGGCCATGTTAAAGGGGCGCCTCTCTTTCCCCGAAGCCAGCGGGGGAGCAAGGGACCCCCTTCCTACCGGCCGATGCTGCTCCTGCTTTGCAACTCCTTTCCAAGTGACCCTTTGCTCCTCTCCCTTCTCTTCCAGACTTTGGGGTCAGCCTCCCCCCCTTCCACTCGAAGATGCCACCAGAAATGGACACCTCCCTCTACTCGCCGCTTTGAAGCTTCCACTACGCGGCCCGTGTCTCCTTCTGTTTGTTTCCTGATTGACCCCGGAATGGGCTGGAGGGGATGCTAGACAGCACATGCAGACTCTGGGCGGGCAGCCGATAGGCTCTGGGTTGGCTTCTAAATAGTTCTTTGGGGCATTTCTCTCCCCCCCCCCTTCTTTTCAAACATCCCCACAGCCTTGTCTCTGAATTGGCCACTTTCTGCATGGCTGCAATCTTTTTGGAAAGATCCCCTTCGATAACCCGCCTCGAGTTTCACTGTGAAAGGTGGGGCTATAAATGAAGTCTGCAGACACAGCCATTTCGGCATACCACCTGTCCAGGAAGGTCCCACCCCACATGGACGCCGTGTTCCTTGCTTGCTTTGGCCACGCAGGTCACAGCTGGCTGCTGCACTGGAACGATCCACTGCCGAGGTCCTGCCCCACTGAATCTTCAGATTTCATTGAAGAAAGGCAGCCAGCCTGCCTCTAGGCCTTTTAACGGTGGGGATATTCCCCCAAAAGTGCTTGAGGCTTTGAAAATGGAAGGCAAGGGGGTTCACCACTGAATCTTCAGATTTCATTGAAGAAAGGCAGCCAGCCTGCCTCTAGGCCTTTTAACGGTGGGGATATTCCCCCAAAAGTGCTTGAGGCTTTGAAAATGGAAGGCAAGGGGGTTAAGTGGATTGTTATAATGCTCTAGTGATCTAGCAGTTGTAGATTTTAAAGGCTGGGGGTGGGTGGGGTGGGAGTGGCAGCTGTGGGGGCTTGAGGTGAGGAACGGCTAGGGAAAGCCGCATGGAGAGCCATTACTGTGTGGAAGCAGCCCAGCCCCAGGTGGGGTGCAGATCCATTGCCCAAGTTCTCCCCCTCCCACGCC